TCCGATGGAGGGAGCTGGCGTAAAGCCTTACAGAAAGTAATCTGTAATGGGGATCGGAATGTCACGTGGCATGTTTACCCAACGTCAAGTCCCAGATTGCCAACAAGTACTCTGTGGTGGTATATGTTGGCTCGATAAGACCTACTTGATTGTGATTTCAGGAGCACATCAATTAAGTCCTGGGACCCCGGGAATCAACAGACTGGGTTGGTTGTGTGTGCAAGAGCGCGTGTTCCTTGCAAGCGTGGGATTCTCGGGAGAGTTCTGGAGAGCACGTGGATTCATGCGGGCATTGTCGCCCTCTTGGCATTGCCTGGCAGTTTCTCAAACTCTGCGTTGCATCTCTGTTTTTTCAGGACGATGCTCCTAGTCCCGATCCGTTTGGGCAATTGTGTTTTGCGTTAGACCTGGTGCCGCGCGCAATGTAAGGATGTAAAATAATCCCTTCAGTCACAATTTAGTCGTGATTGTTGTCAGAAAATGTTGTTGGGAGCCCAAAAAACGATTGGGGGGAAAAACGATGACGTGGATGTTGGAATCACGTTAGTCTGCCGTGTCATATAGGTCATTCGAGGCGCACATGAAAAGTTTCTACTACAATCTACTATAAGCTATTAAAACCATCTATAACCTACCATAACCTACAATAGCCTACTATAATCTGTTATAACCCAATATAATTCGTAAGAATCCAGTATAGTCCACTCTAACCCATAATAATACACCAGAATCTACTGTATCTACCATAAACGACGAAAAATCTACTTTAAACTATTCTAACCTACTCTAATCTACCCTAGTCTACTCTAAGTTACTATAATCTATCATGATCTGCTATCATCTACGAGAACAAGGGATTTGTACACTTGATTCTTCCTGGTAACGCACGCCAGGAGAGCGAGCGTGCTTCGCAACACGGAAACCACGTCAATGCTGGAATGGCTGTGAACCAAGAGTTGAGGATAGTTGAGGTCTCGGCGATGGGGAGTTCAGGGCTTCGGAGGTCAAGATTTCACGAACACGCTCATATCGAGTGATGAGCAATCCTGGACCATTTTTCGCCGATCTTGAGAATCCCATGTGCAAAGCTAGGATCTTAGGCGCCGTATGAAGCGCGATGATCTTTGGAACCTCATAGAAAGGAAAAGATCTTCGGGTTTCTTATGGGCCTCAAAAAAACCTTGTTATGTTTGGAACCTCGTAGGAATCAGAAGATATTGGGAATGGCATATAAAAATTAGGATTTGGGGGGTTCATATGAGAAGCTACGATCGTAGGAGTCTCATGAGAAAAGCAAAGATCATCGTGTTTCATATGCAAGAAAGTGATTTTCGGGGCTCGCGTGAACCCTTCTGATCTTTGGAAGCTCGTATGATAAACCAAGATCATTGGAATTCCATATGGAAAGCTAAGATCGTGGGAGCCGTGTGAGAAGCCACGACTGGCTACGTGTGACACGCCGGCCGTTTTTCGCATCACTGGAAATCAGCGTGTTCGTGAAATCTCGATCTCCAAAGCCTTGAACTCCCCATCGCCAAAACCCCCATTATCCTCTGAACTCTTGGTTCACTGCCATTCCAGCACTGACTTGTGTTCCGTGTTGCCTAGCACGCTCGCTCTCCTGGCGTGCGTTACCAGGAAGAATCAAGTGTACAAATCCCTTATTCTCGTAGATGATAGCAAATCATAGTAGATTATAGTAACTTAGAGTAGACTAGGATAGATTAGAGTAGATGTAGATCACAGGATTGGATGGATAGTAGATTATGGCAGGTTATGGCATATTATCGTATATTATCGTAGATTAAAGTAGGTTATCGTAGGTAATAGTGCAGAGTAGCAGATGATAGCAGGTTTGTGCACTTTAAAGTAGATTATAGTAGGTTATCTTAGATTGTAGCAGGTTACAGCAGATGATAGTAGATCATAAGACATTCTAGTGCATATCATCAGATTAAAGTAGAGTATAACAGAATATAGTAGGTAGTTGTAGGTCATAGTACATTGTAGTAGATCAGAGTAGAGTATAGTAGGTTATACATGTATCGAGTTCCTTGTACTTCCAAAGACGCCATGTTACATGCATGTGGCCAGAACCCCATAAAACACGAAGAAGATAACAGCGATGGCCCCAACTTAATGTGTTATGAAGAAGATGTGTAGGGTATTATGCAGCCCCATGTGGCTTTATTGTGGTGTTACGCGTCATGTCCTGGAGGCTCTTCGTTTCGGTCCATGATGACCCTCTATAAGTTTTGAAAACTTCATCTATTAGGCCGTGGTTATAAATGTGTTTTGTAGTATCATTCCTTGCTATTCTCTGTAGCAAGCCGTGAAGCATCCCCGCACTCCAAACATGCCGGATGGGACGCGTTATTTCTGGAGACATCCACTTCTCTTCGGAAAAAGAAAACTGGAAAGATGACAGATGAAAGAACATGGCAAGAAGAAGAGAACAAATTGAATACAACAGGGAATACGAGCGAATCAAAAGCTTGTTTTCATTCTGTTTGCCGCCATGTTGGTGCCACCTCTTTTAAAAATCATTTCTCTTTAAGGTCAGAATGGCCAAATTTGTTCATATTTTAGCTGCTTAAATGCCAGGAGTTTAAGAACGTAGTCTAGCCATAAAAGAGAGAAGCAGGGAGAGAGTCAACGAATATAGGGCACATTAACGAATTTTCTTTTGTGTGTCCCGATTCCCAAATCGTACCTACAACAAATTTACAAGGGCAGGAAACAACAACGACGACGACAACAACGCGGAAGCCACAGAAAACAGGAACCACTGCTGAGTAATTTAGCAATCAAGTTTTTACTAACCAGCATCTGTTGATGTTGGTTTGTTGTCCTTGTTTTGTAGTATTTCAAGATTTTCGGAATTTAGTCGGCTCATTATTGCAAGCATATGTGTTGGCATGTAAAGAAAGGATAGTTCAGATAGTTGAGAGTTCGGGAAATGCCGGATAGTCACGCACATCAGCGATTTCTCCAGTCTTCAGATTTGCTTGTCAATCGGCGAAAAATGACGGCATCAAGAAGGCAGTGTGACAAGCATTTTCCTCATGGAAGTCAGGCAGGCGTAGGAAAAGGAACAAACCGCGGGCATTGCCATTTCTTGTTTGTCTCGTGTTTTGCTTTGCTGGCTTTGAAAGGCAAAGCATGCCGCATGCACCATGTGGTCCAAGCAGCGCATGAACTGGCCGCAACGGCAAAGGACAAGGCAAACAGAATCAACAAAACCGTGCATGCATGCGCCCTGGGCAGGGATGTTCCCAAGTTGTTGTTGAATTTACATGCATGGCTTCGGCGCGCGTTTCCTTTTCTGTCATGCATTCGTTGCATTGCACCTCTTGTGGTCCAACATCTTTTCACATCTGGTTTGTAGTCGAAGTTAACTTTTCGTTCCAAATTTGGTAAACGCTACATGGAAGCTCCCTGTGGAAAGCATGCCTCCATGAATACCTATAGAAGGTTCATAAGATATGTGATATATAGCCCGTTTAGCTTTACGGAGGGTATGTGTTGGAAACGTTAGGGTCAAGGAAAAATGCAAACATGTCATTTTGCATCTTCTCGGGGAGGTTTAGGTTTGTATGTGAAAAGACGTCATGTAAGCATCATGATGTTGATGTTCCGCCAGGCCAACGAACTCAGATGTGCATTTTTTGTTAACTGTGGACTGAATTTGCCGCAAAAACGTCAAACACCACAAAGCTCTGATGACCAAAGCTCTGGAAATCGCGCATGTGGGTTTGCCACTGGAATACTCCACAGTCCCAAGCATCAAGAAACAAGAGGGGCAGTCCACTGCAACAATGACAGGACGCAGACGTTTGTTTTCACACTTGCGTCTATCAAAGGGGCGGTCAGTACCACTGTTTATATGTTTCATGTTTTATTTAGGCTGTTGTCTTCGAGCGCAACAAGATCGATAGGCGACGGCGTAAAAGATGCGCTTAATCCATCCAGGCCAGGGTAATAACACTATCCAGTGCAAAGCCCAAAAACCTGGTGATTGATAGGGGACGTTCTGATTCAATAAGAGGCGGCAAGCACTTAATGTCGGCACAAACTCTGCTACGAAGTCTGCTACCACATGCCGTTATTTTGACTGCTGCTATTTTTCCACCTGCGCTGTTACTTTAATTCACTATTCATGGTATTTCTACGTCGACTTCTGCATGTTCTTCTATCTCTACGTACGCCTACGTTTGCTTGGTCTTCTATCTCTACTTTTCCTTTAATTTCTACCTGCTACACCTACTTTTTACTTCTACTGCGTCCTATCTCGCTACCAGTCTCACGCACACATCGGATATTTGATGGTCGGCATCGTGTTTTCCCCCATCAATAGGAGCAGGCCAAAATGCTGGCCTCGACCGTAGACAAGGAATTTTGCGCTGGCATCCTGCAAGAAGTGCATACAGGAGTAGCCAGGACCGTTCTGTTTTCCATTTCGAAACATTGGTGGTGCAGGAAGACACGAAGGCGAGGTGTGTTGCCACGGGAGGAAGAAGCAGGAATCTTGCCGGAATCTTGCCGCAACACGCTTGAGCCAAGGACGGCAAGAACGTAACTGTCAGGCCACGGCATTGTCAAACATCAATGTGTGGCTAAGCCCAAAACCGCGTCGTGTGGCTTGGAATTCCAGGCTGGCCAACTAGGGTTGATACATCATGTAATGTTTAGCCTTGCGTATGGACCGTATCCAACAGGCCGTAGATGCATGCGAGCTTCATTTTTGGATTTTTTCACAGACGTGTCGGGCCAGCGCCCAAATAGAAGAGCCTCCATGTTAGCCGCGGTGAAGATTGAAATGTTGCAAGGCTTGGGGTCTTCCTCTGGGCATGCGCCGAAGCGAGCTCCACTTGCACGAAAACTATCTAGAAAAAACACAAGCCAAACCTTAGCCATGGACTTCAGACCTTCACCCTCGCCCCAAACCTTGGGTTTTAGACCCTACGCTTGGACAGCTGTGCAAAGTCAAATGCTTGAAGGCAAAGAGGCGCACGATCCGGAGGCAGAGGCAATAGCTGTCAGGCTCTCAGACGTGTGTAACCCAGTTTCATGCGCTTTAGGGTTCGTGGGTCAAGGTTTGGAAAGTTCAGGGTGGGAAGTCTTAGAACCACGTCACGTGCATGTAGTATACGAGCCTGAAAAGGGTGGTTCTCGTCAAAGGATATATATACATATATGTATAAATATATATGCAAAGACATCGAAGCCCTTTCGAGAACGCTCATACTTTTGTCGTGCTTCAGCTCTGCATGAATCATCTCACCCAAAGGGTCCATGTAGCTATATGGTAGATACTTGGGCCTTAAAGTAGGTATATGGGAACTCCTTTGGGCCACTCTAAACCCTAAACCCATATACCTACATGGACCCTTTGGGTCAGTCAGTGCGCGTAAACCATTTCGACAGCTTGGGCTTGTAGCTTTCACACGGACCTCCAAGCCGTGAGCCAAATTTGTATCAGGTTGTAGTCCCCCTCAAGTAGATGGTTAGGGTTTAGGGTTTAGGGTTTAAGGTTTGGGGTTTTGGGTTTTGGGAATAATATACACAAAGCCATATTCTATGTACTGAAGGGTGACTTGGGCCCCAAACAGGACAGGGCTCTTAAAAGAGTACGGCTCCCCATCATGGTGTTGCATTTTGGTCCGCAGTACTTAGACAAAACCCCAGTGGGTGTATGCAAGTTGTACTTGCAGGTGAGGAGAGGGAAAATGAGGCAAGGGAAGAGGAGTGCATTTCGTCGGAGTTCAAAATGAGGGTATATGGCTGTAGCTATCATCGCTCTGCTTGCACGCGCGTCACAGATCATGCCGTCCATATTTCCAGAACCCTCTACAGAGATCTTCTTTTTATCAGATGTTCATCCATCTTGATCATTCTCCGAAGAGAATTCACTTGACAATGAATTCCAAGTAGCAACATATGGGTAGTTCCCAAAATTGGGGTCCCAGTTTGGTACTCTTACATATTAGGTGCCGTAAAATTATCTAGAATCAAAAAGGGGCTCATCATTTTGAGAACCACCCATATGGGGATTGGTCTAAATTCCCTATAATACGGGGTCCTATAATTGGGTTCCCATTATAATACGAGGCCCTATATTAATTTTTCCATTTTGGGAACAGTAATCTATGGAAACTACCATATGCTCTGTTTTAGCTGCCTGCACGGGAAGCTGTGAGCTGACATGTCTCCCCTCCCTGAGCATCAAACCTCTTTGGGGGTTTCCAGAAATTAATGGTACCTTTTTGGGGGTCCCCATAATAAGGACTATAGTATTTTGGGGTCTATATTGGGGTCCCCTTTTTTTGGGAAACTACCTTTGAACAACAAATTCTGGCCATTCCATGTTGATCGATTTTGGGTATCAACCGTGGATTGTCAGCCAGTGGGTGGAGGGGTGCACAATGTGGATGGGAGTATTGCCGAGCTTCATTCTCCCTAGTTAGGAAGCATATCTTGTAAGCCACTTCATGTGTGAGATGGACCTCTGCACCCGGCTTCTGACTGGAATTCCACAGTCTTGAGTACAACAGAAGTACAACAGACAGAGTCAATTCGCGAAGGCGGCTGAAGAGGACTCTTCGGATGAGGTTGGGCGCATGCATTCATCCTAGCCCTGTGTGAGGGTCCGAAGTACGCACAGAAGGTGACTGATGAGCGTACGTGGGCAGATTGTTTGTATTTACTCGTTATTGTGTTCGGTACGCAGGCCTTTCACTTTGAGTACATACGTATATGAGAGATCACGGATTGTGGGACAGCATCTCAAATCTACATATTCGACCCCCGAAGACAGTTGCTGGAGGCCTGAGGTTCCGATTAGGCTTTCGGGCTTCCAATGTGTGGAGTTCCTGGAAAACTTAGTCGTTGTGTTGTTCCAAGGTTTGTAGTCTCGGGCCTTTGGCTTTGTGTAGCATTCTCTATTCCAAAGTTGTTCCCGTTATCTCTTCCAAATTCCACAAGTTGGATTGGCAGCCATAGGTCACATTACGTATGCAGACCTTATGCAAGCTTTTCAAGTGGGACCCTGGATGTACAAGGGGATAGCGAGGGGTTCTAGGGTCGTACGGATGATGCTAAGAGACTCCCCATGTATAAGTTCATTACAGAAAGTTGCTGTAAACTTCCAAGTTGGACTTCAGGTGGACTGTACTGGGCTTCAGGACCTCGTGGGAGGGACCTTTGAGCATCGCTTCAAGCTTACTTCTTCTTAGTTGGGAACAAGGAATATAATCCCTATGTAGAACATATTCCCTTATTTCCTAAATTAAGCCCTAAACCCTAACCAGTAAGCAAGGTTGAGTGCAGGGCTTAGAGTTAGAGGCGAGCGGCCTAGGGTTTGTCGCTTAGGGCGGACGCTTGACCAAACATAGAGCCCCATATCAGCTATAATAGTCTAAACTCCTCAAAAGGGCGTCAGGAAAGGAGTTATATGGGGGACGACTACATGGGTTACGAAGGGGATATACTCGGAGTCAAGATTATAGCTCATGTGAGGCAGTTTTCCATCAGGGCGTTGGCGTACGCATAAAAGGGTTTCTAGGAGATGTTGGTGGGAGAAGGTCCGCAGGTCGCGGTTTTTCCTGGTATTCTCAGGGCTGCCGCAAATCTCAAAACCTAACCATCAAAACCACAGAAATCCGTAAACTCTAAAACTCTAGAATCCTAACCCTGAGCCTTTTGCGTTTCATGTTTCGTCTGGGGAGTGTGCAGGTCTTTGGGTTTACAGGCTGAGGGTGCATAGTCCGTAGCATGATTAGTGGGTTTCTCAAAAACGGGGGGCCCTTGGGCCTAGATATATGCAAAGGTCCTTCCTCACAAAAGGCTAAAGTCTACATGTGGCGAACCCATTATAATTAGGCATAAGCCCATAAAATGTAGGAACAAGGAGCCGCAGGTGTTGTCAGGCCCGATACTCTGTACCCGCCCCTTTGTCTAGGTTACCGTGAGGAGGCTTCAACTAAGTTACTGCTATAAGGAAGCCTGGGCATCTTCCTCCATGTTCTGGTAACTTAGGTTGAGTTCCATAATTCCCTCAACAACCGCAGTATAACCCTATCTTCTATTGTATGCTTCACTATATTGATGTCCGAAAGCCTAAACAATAAACCCTACCTTGATGGCGACCCAGTTGTCCGGTCACTTCAAAGTTGCTTCCATGCGACGATTTGCGCCCCTCTTGGTCTTAGCCCCTGCGTAGAACAACATTTCCCGATATGATGTAAGGTACAATTCTTAATTAGGGTTTTGGAAGTTCGGATAGGGTCTAAGGCTTAGGGTACATGACCCTAGAGTCCCTGCGGGTCCCATTGTTTGAGAAATCTCCACATTATTGAGCCGTAAACCCTAAACCCTCTGGCGCTGCGCAGGATGGGGATCCACTTGAAATGCTTCGCGGTCACATCCCAGAGGACATTCCGCGGTTTAGGGTTTACGTTGGGGGTAAAGGGCATTGGCTATTTCTCAAAGATGCCGTGTATTGTCCATCATAGAAACACCCCAAAGTTGATCTCATGAATTTTCAAGGGTAGCTATTTTGAGCAACTTTCATTTTGGTTTGGGGTTCGGCTGTCACTTTCAGCAGTCAGGCAGGAGTGCAAGGTGTTTTGAAGCGACGCGGCGGCTCGGATTAGACAGGGGGTTCACAGGTGCTCCATGTCCTCACCGCCACAGATATGTGAGGGGACCATTACATGCTGAGGGTTTATAGTCCCCCTTAAGTAGATAGAATATGGGGTATTTGGGGATCTGATAATTTTTTTTCCAAAGCTATATTCTATCTACTAAATATAGGTCTATAAAGCACGCATAGCTAAAATCGACAGTAGTTGGGCTTTCGGAGCATTGAGGTTGCTTGGCAGTTGAGGGTTCGGGGCTTACGGTACAAAGAAGGCCCTGGATGCTGGACAAAGACTGCATGGTTTCTCTCCTTGTAATGTTGGGAGATTAGGGTTTGGGGTGTGTTTAGGGTTTAGGGTTCCCTAAGCCCTGGCAGTGCGGGTAAGGACCCATGCGTTGCAGTGTCTACACAAGCGCTGACCAAACCAGCACATGTGTTCTTTCCTACCCTACAACTCTAGGTCTGTGAGCAATATGTATGTTGGCCCCTGAAGTGTATAGATCTGCGCACATTGTGCTATTTCGACCAGCCAGTCCATGTTTCCCGTTTTGGGGGTCGCACTTTCTTCACAAGACTTCATAGTACCAGGGCCTTTGTTAGGCCTAGGTTACTGGGAATCCCACTTGCTGTTGTCATACCAAGCACCTCACAGCCTCACAAAAATCAAAGGAACTTGGTAACCCCAACACATCCTTTCAGAATCCTGTAATCATCACATGAGCCATAGTCTCAACTCCTTAAAGGGGGGTCAGATAGGGGATAATATCGGGGACTACTATAGAGGATATTAGGGGGGATACTAGGAGTTTAGACTATGGCTCACATGACTATAACATGGCCCCAAACCCTAAACCCTAAACCCTAAGCCCTAACACCCCAAACTTGGGGGTTGGGGCCACCAAAGCCCTTTTTGCTCTACCATGATTCCCAAGAATCCCACAAGAAGCTTGAGGAGGCCTTTGTGTCCAAGCTACTCTTGGATCCGAATGCCCTTCATTCCATGGGCTCTTAAGTTTTGGGGTTTAGGATTTAGGGTTTAGGGTTTAGGGTTTAGGGTCTGGGTCTACAAGGAGTGCCTACATTGGGCCCTGCAGTCCATAAATATTACCTGCACTGGGCTATTCGGAGCCTTAAGGCATGGGACTGGAACCATCGGGAAAGCTACAAAAGGGGTGGATTTGCATGTTTTTGGATGGGCTGGCCTGAGCAAGCCAAGCGTAGATAAACAATGGAGCAGCAATATGCGCTGAGTTTTATTATATCAACTTCAATGCGTCCTTGGGCCCTGAGACTGTACTCCACCAACGCTTAGCCAGACAGTTTAGAGCGTTCGGGGTTTCGGGGCCAGGGTTGAGGGTTTAGGGCTCTACCAGATGGGACACCAATCCGAGTACAATTTCTATAGAAATCTACCCCCACGGTCTCTGGGGCATCCCTGTTTTGAGAAAGCCGCATCTGAGAAACCTCGAGGAGCATGACCCAAGCGCACTGTATGGGCCTGCCCGACGAAAGCTTTTGCTGGCTTGGGATTTTGTCTGAGCAAGCTAGGGTTTAGGGTTGTGGCTTTTCAAAGGCTGCCCCGGATAAACTACATTGCCATTCACTTCCTTGAACAGCAGTCCTATGTGAGCTCTGTGTGCTTGGTGTGTGCATGGGCTCCTTGCGTTACAACAAGATTGAAGACTTGCCAGGCAAGAAGAGTATGACTGGGACCACCACAAGGAGGCCCCCTGGCCTGGGTTGTTTTACTAAGAGGAGAAATGATTTCGTTTTCTTCAAGAATGGGTACCTACGGACACTAGAGACATATGATTTCATAAGGGAATTGCAGGGGTCCCACTTCGGCATTCTATGAGGATCGTTTTGAGACACTCCCACATCCTTTTCAATCCATTGCAGATATTCTGGCCCTTGTTGCGGGCTCATACTCAAAGGGTCCAACTGCCCAATAATGATAGACTTCCCCAAAACCTGTACCACAACTCTTTATACCAAACCCCAAGTACGTACATGGATCCATAGGGATTGAGACTGTTCTTGCGTGGGCTAGAACAGACCTATTCTTGGCCTAGGGCCTTGGATGCTTCAAGGACTTTCAACAGATCCACCAGATTCATCTTAGTTAAGCCTTCACTAGCCAAACCTGTCCAATGGAGGTTCCTAAAGCGTCTCATATAGTTGAGGACTTGTATTTAGAAGTGCAGGATCCCTGAACCCTTAACCCTAAATGCGACAAACTTGGGTTTACCGAGGCGCGAAGCGCTTGGGGACCCTTAGGGATTCTTGACTAAGAGGCTTATAGGGAAATCTCTTGGAATGATGAAGTGGCTTACGGTTTATTCAGGGTTTAGGGGTTTAGGGTGGATCTTTCAGCAATTGCCGAAGGACACCAGCCGTGCGGTTTGTACTTGTTATCGGCAAGCCTATTAGTGCTAGAGCCACTTGTTTCAAAAGTTTGCTTACAATTTCCCTTGGTTCCTCTTTTCCCTTAGTCTTCGAACCAGGTAGGACCGGCAAAGTAGAATGTAAAAAGAGTCGAAGACGTCATCTGCGCTATTTCGTGGGCAATCAAGGGTTTTGAGGATAATCCCCTGTCTCACACCTGCTATGCCAGGCCCCAAACCAAGGACCTGGTTCATTGTTGGATGTAGCTTTTTTCTTTCACCTCATTCTACCCCACCCCAAGAAGGAACATGAGCTGTTGATTTTTTTGTTTTGCCCCAGTCAGGAACCAGGAACACGTTCAGGGCTGGGGGTCGTACAGGTGGCATGGGAATTCTTCAGCACTGCCAACACAGAATCCTTGTAGAGTGCCTGGGCTATCCTCGTCATCCCCTTATGTGCCTTTGATCCCTGGGGGCCCCCCCTGTGGTGAGGAACCCGGAAACCTCTATAACCCCATACTCGGGAAGATAGCGATAACTTCCTATACTACATCAAGGAACCAGGACCACAAATCCTCTGTTCGAGAAACGCGAACCCTTACTCGTGTCCTAAACCCTAGTCAACCCTAACACATAACCCCTAAACCCCCCAAACTGAAAAAACTTAAACCCTCAACCCTGAGCCTCAAGGCCTTCGACCGCCTCCTGGTGGATCACGAGGTCGTGCAAGAAACGCCATCGGTCCCTGGGCTTGTCAGTAGCAAGTGGGTGTTTGCAAGAATCGTATTTGTTTTGGGAGTGTTAGGGTTTTAGGTTTTAGGGGGTGCCTTTAATCAGGATTCTAGTATCTTGGCAGTGTAAAGGGGACCCCCTTCTTAGAAACTCCCAAGTCAGTCTTTGGTTGATTTGCCCCTAGTTTTCGTGAAGAGCTGAAGTTTTGCCCACGCATACTGTAGACTTTGGTGCCGCAAGGCAAAGGCAAGGACTGTCGCGTCTGTTGCAGAAAACACCATACATAAAGGGCCAGGGGACGGACTAAGTAGGTTATCATTGGGGTTATAAGTCACCTAATTGAGGTTCGTCTGACAAAACCCCTTTAGAACCTGTAAGTCCCTGGGCTGCTAACTAAAACTGTGCTCCCCAAATCCTGAACGTTACGGCCTAGAGCATCCCCTTCAGCCCTTGTACCCTAACAATTAGGCCCTCAACCTTGCCATAGTGGGGGGATACTAGGAGTTCAGACCATAGCCCAAGATGTTCCACAAGAATGATTGAATGGCCCAGGTCGAATGGGAGGAGCGGCTTTCCCTGGTGTGGTTTATTTGAAACCTCAGGGTTGGGGCATCTGGGTACCGCAAAAACCCTAAACCCTAAACCCTAACCCTAAACCCTAAACCCTAAATACACTTGCTTATCCATGAGCCTCCATTCTTTCAGGATTTGGGGTTAAGTTTTCCAAGCCGGCTCATGTTTCAGTTCTCAAGGTTAGGGTCTATATGGCTTGGGGATTAAGGTGTTAAAAAGGAGATTCCCTTAGTTTTGAGAAGTGGGGTAGGCTTCAAACCTGGGCCCTAGATCCTATAGACCCTAAACCATGTAGTGGGCAAGGTTCAGCTTAGCGTTCATGCTCAGGTTCTGAAGGCTGGCAGGTATGAAGAAGGGTCCCAGCTCAGGGTTTGGGATTGGGGCCGAAACCTGATACAGAAGAAGCTTTAGACCTGAAGGCATAAGGAGTAGGGTAGCTGATACTGCAGGGGGTGCCTCCTGAAATAAGGCACAAAACTGAGCATTGTCAGTTGCGGGGTCCAACTTAATCCCAAGCGATTTCATTAGTTTCTGCTTGAGATAATAATGTGCACCATATGTATAAAATATGTAAACGGGTATGTATATATATGTATATATATGTATGTATATACGGTGGCATTTTTGAATATGTGGAGGGCGGCCAACCCCAACATGCCACGGAGGTAGCTTAAAGGATGTAATTAAATCCGGATGTTTTCCTGTTTAGAATCAATTCCGGATGTTTTTGATCGTG